ACATAAATAATATAAGTAAAGAGAGTTCACTTGCATCCATGACTACAGCGTCGTAGGTGTACACTGTATTCTAGCGTTCTGTCTACAAATGGGACGTTACCGAGTTCGGTAAATGCTGTCTACAAATGGGACGTTACCGAGTTCGGTAAATGCTGCCTACAAATGGGACGTTACCGAGTTTGGGAAATGCTGCCTACAAATGGGACGTTACCGAGTTCGGGAAATGCTGCCTACAAATGGGACGTTACTGAGTTCGGTAAATGCTGCCTACAAATGGGACGTTACTGAGTTCGGTAAATGCTGTCTACAAATGGGACGTTACCGAGTTCGGTAAATGCTGCCTACAAATGGGACGTTACTGAGTTCGGTAAATGCTGCCTACAAATGGGACGTTACCGAGTTCGGTAAATGCTGCCTATTTAAATGATATGGCAGGACAAATGAAATGAACAATTTGTCTAATAATTTATAGCTAATTAGGTTTGACATTTAATATCACTTAAGTATTATAACAATTTTACATTATTTTGTGGCTAACAAAAAGAGATAATTAAGTTGACATTTTGAATTTCGTCTCTTTTTAAAAAAAAATCATCATATACAGCTACTGGAGGCATTATATACTAGTTAAACTGATTAGAATATTATACATCCACAAAAATTTAAGTGTCAGTAACAAGGCATATCAAACCTCCTTGGTTACTGTTACTGTTTCTGTGTCTCCTACTTTACGGATGTTATTCTATTATGTCTCCAGATTCCCTTGAATCTCCTGATACTATTTGTTGTTTTCTTGTGTCATTGTTTACTGTTGTTTTATTTCTAATTATTTAATGTTGTTGTTGTATTTCTCTTTAAATGCTTGTGATGTGTTCACGTGCACTTGTTGACTGTTTTTCCTTGACTACTGTTGTTGTTTTGTTTCTCCTTGGTTACTGTTGTTTTGTTTCTCCTTTGTTACTGTTGTTGTTTATTGTTGTTGTTTGTTTCTCCTTCGTAACTGTTTTTTTTTCTTTCTTTTTCTCCTAGGTTACTGTTGTTGTTTTGCTTCTCCTTGGTTACTGTTGTTTTGTTTCTCCTTTGTTACTGTTGTTGTTTATTGTTGTTGTTTGTTTCTCCTTCGTAACTGTTTTTTTTCTTTCTTTTTCTCCTAGGATACTGTTGTTGTTTTGCTTCTCCTTGGTTACTGTTGTTTTGTTTCCCCTGGGTTACTGTTGTTGTTTACTGTTTTTTTACTTTTTGTCCTAGGTTACTGTTGTTGTTTTGTTTCTCCTTGGTTACTGTTGTTTTGTTTCTCCTGGGTTACTGTTGTTGTTTACTGTTTTTTTACTTTTTCTCCTAGGTTACTGTTGTTGTTTTGTTTCTCCTTGGTAACTATTGTGAGCTTTTGTTGGTTTGTTAATCCATGGTTACTGTTTTTCGATTTCCCTTTTCCTTGGTTAGTGATGTTATTTTCGCGTATTTTGGGTTACTGTTGTTTTTGTTTTGTTACTTTTTTTATCTCCTTGTAACATATATGTACATGTTGTTGATTTTGTGAGTCCTGAATAATTGGTGTAATAAATATTATTTTCCTCAGCACATTTCTGTCAGTATGACTTATTTATATGATAGCTGTGAGAAACCCAACAGTTACTTCCCTTTCTGTCTTTCTTTCACTTTGATTTCCCTTGCTTGATGCTTTAAGGTCTATGTCTGTCTTACTGATTGTTGGTATTGTCCTTTTGCATTGTTATTGTGGTGGTTGTTATTTATATCACACTTTTTACAATGGGAAAGTTTTCAGCTAGTTAAAAAACGAATGCAATCAACATTCGAATGTAGCGAAAACATATTTTCTTCATATAATGATAAATTTATATGTTTTTACTGTACATTTTAGTTAGTATGTACTATATAGCTAATTTATTGACTCGTTATTGTCAATTGTATGCATACGGACTTGAAAATAATATCCTCTGGATGGTATCACCTCCCTAAGTTTTCATATTTTATATATACTTTATGTAATAAAACTCCATCTAGTTATGTCTTCGAGTCAACAATGTCCACACGCATGTAAACTTTGAAGTTAAAATGCTGCTAGAGATGACAGACTTTCCATGAATTGGCGCGTGAGCCATATGGTGTCGACAGCTCTTCAGTAACCGATGACAGTGACCTGAGGTTGAGTGTGTACGCCTTTCCTTGTCATTTTCAGTTTCTCGTAGAACATCGCGTTGTGAACATCCCAATGGTAACACCAACTGTTTTACACTTTATGTGATGAGGACATTCGATAGGTCACCAAGTGTTATCCGTAAAAACATAAGATATATCCTACCAGCGCACCGGTGTAACACGCGTCAATCTATCTCGACTTTACGGTCGACATGAACTGGTAGCATAAACTTATTTTGTATTGCACAGATTAAAAAGCTTCCGGTGTTGTATTGATAATGTGCTTTTTTAATTTGTTTATATTGAATTCAAATATATGAATAATAATTACTTGTAATGCGAAAACGGAATCATATTTAAAAATAAGTACATTGTATGTTGATGTGTAAAACCAAAGAAAGTTAGTTTTAACTGCACCATATGGCCTTTTAATCAATTTCAAACTCATAAGTGTGACTAGCTCATATTTCAAACCTTCCTAACATAAGTAGATACATTGCATAGTCGTAAAAAAACTCTTTATCGTGTTACAAATTTACAACTGTTCGGATACAATAGATAATTAATTCTTTAACTAGTATTTCTTATAAACCGTGCAAGCTTATATTACAGTAAGTTAATCTCAGGGACTGATATTTATATGTTTATTTTACACTTTTATATTGACAATTAATATTCAGGTCTTTTAGTTGACCCTTGAGCATGGGCGTTTTCAGAAGTCAAATCCAAATCTTATACAATATTGGAAAGTCAAAATTATGTGAATTAGTCTAGTTTGTTTAAAACCAAAGAGTCAGAGCTCATATTTTGGATTAAAAAATATACTCTCATGTGGCGAAAGCCGTGTTATACTAGTATTACCTAATTACCTATTGCACACAATATACTAATAATCTGTCAAAAGTGTTTCCTTGTATAAATAGCCATCACTTTAATAGTACTGTGGTATTTCGTTGTGGTGTGTTATATTTTCATAATTTTTATATAACTGACCTTATCATCAAATAGATACATGCCTAACACACACTGGGTGATTTGCAGAAAAATATAACATAAACCTTTGACAAAAAATATGAAGCATAGAAAATATAGTTCAGCTAAGTGAACCAAAGCCAAGAATGAAACGATTGTGAAAATAAATTAACGGAGAAAGAAAGGTGTTGTATAATAATATACAACACTTATAAAGCGCCCTATATAATTTGTAAAATTACTCTAAAGCGCTTTACAACATATCGATCATAGTAATGGTTATAATTGTGAAAACAAAAAACAAAGGCTTACAATCACTTTTATACATTTAAGCAAGCATTGTGCACATAACTGAACAAATAAAAAGGTGGTATTTACATGACGTCTTTGCAAGGATTCTAAAATGGAGATGTTAAGAGGTGAGTTTTGAATTTGGCCAGGACATTTGACTTTCTAATACTAGATGGTAAGCTATTCCACAACGTAGCCGAAACCCTTCCAAAGCATCTGTTTCCGTAGGTCACAGTATGAGATTTTGGGACACACAACAAAGATTCTGACTCCGACCGCAGTGATCGTGACTGATACAGGGTAACAATCTCCTGTAGGTACTGAGGAGCTGTTCCATTCAGTGCCTTGTATGTGTACACCAGAATTTTGTACTGCGACCTGTATCGTTCAGGTAACCAGTGCAACGAATAAAGCACAGGTGTGATGTGCTCCATCTTTCGAGTACGAGTAACTAGCCGTGCTGCAACTTTGTATTTCCTTGCTACAAGTACGTAGTAAAGTACTCTGTGCCCTGTGCTGGCGACGTCCCATTCTGAAGCGGACTGACCGATCAGAAAGAAGCTTTCAAAAGTCGATCATTTGTCGCGGCCCATACTGGCGAGCGCTCGATCTGTATGCTGACGAGGCGGAATATTTGGATTGTTCGTGAACGTCCTGTTACCAAAGCTTGTATGACACATTTGGATTAATATTGATCAAATTCTCTCATTTCTATTTCAGTAGGTATGCCAATCTGTGCGTATCGACAAAATCGGTGATTATTTGTTTAGATTTGTGTAAATTCATACGACACATGTGAAATGTTTCATTTAATTTCGGATCTAATTAGATGCCTTCACACGAATTGAACGAATTTTTCAGTAATAAATGGAGATAAGAACAAGCAATGTTTACTTTTGATTTTTTGATCTATTCAGCAAATACATTTCATCGGTCTTTTCTGTTCTGTTTTCTGCTAGCCTTATCAGCTGGATTTCGCTAAGAGCGAGCTTGACGCCATTTTGTTTTGTTTAGAAACGGGGCGTGGCTTAAGTGCGATGGGAGGAGCGTAACACGATTGATCATGATTCTATCGCAGATTAGAACATGGTCCGTATCCAATCAAAACACGCGTTGCAAACGAATCGTGTTAGAATTATCTATATAATGATAAAATTATGACAAATTACAAAATTTACCATTTTTGAGTGTAATAGAAAACATAATTTTAAACAAAGAACAAAACAACATTTCAAACTATCCATTGACATCATAATCGCTTCCCTAGTTACGTGTAATAAATGCTATTAAGCACATGTGATTTGATGTTATTTATAACTAGCTGGTGTACTGTCCCGTTCTAGATTTGAATTCGAAATAACTAACTTCGTTTAAAATGTTTTCATCAATAAGACAAATTTGAACTACAATTCAATAATCATCCTTGATTTGGTGTAGTGAAGGCACTATAGACCGAAAAACACATTTGCATTATTTTGCATAAATCTTTTTCTCTGTCCGTACCAATTTAGATTAAGACTTGTCGTTTGAAAATTAAATAATAAAGATACACAGGTAAAACACATAAAAACAACAGATTTGCAAGTTAAAATAAACTTTATAACAGTTTGTCTGTTCAGCGTGACGCTGAATACACATAAGTCAGTGTTTTATTAGTAGTAAATATTTGGTTATAGTTACGGCACAGTATTTCGTTTGTTTCGGATTCATTTTGGTTGATTGTTCAGCACAATGATAGTTTCCCTAGCGTGACATCTTTCATTTCGTTTTTGAATTCTGGAAAATAAAAGTGTAAAAAATTTAGAAAACTACCAATGTCAAAGGGTACGCATACATGGACTATACAACTTTCTAAATTTCTGAAGACTTATTTGCATGGACTTGAATTGAACAATAACAAGTAAATTGTTTAAATCAACATGGAATTTTATTGCAAAGATACATAACATCGCAAGCACAACTGGTAAAGAACAAGCATTCTGCATTTGAAAAGTAAATAATCTCACAAGACATTGTTTTTTTAACTGAAGTATAATCTACTGTTATAGCTAAAACAAACATATCATAACCCAAACGTCTACTCATATGATATATCATACGTCTACTGTTTTAGACGAACTTTAAGTCAAATCATTACTATTTACCATATGATGTAATACTGAAATCCTTTCAGATAAATTCCATTGTTGTTTAAAATGTGAGCACATGATAAACAAAAAAATATATAAAGTAAGAATATATGAAATTCTAAGGGTCGAATGTCCAACGCACAATTTACTATTGTTGCTGCCGTTAAATCGTTGATGAAAAGTATCAAAATGAAATACTAATACCCGAAAAGGAACTATTGTTTTCTAAGCAAGGAATGCTCTGTGATGTAGTTTTATCTTCTAAAAGGAAACCCCCTCGAAACTAAAAAGGTGACGAAGTACAAATTGATGATTTTATCTCGCCCACTAGAAAATGTTACCGAGGCAAAGAATCTCTTACATATCTCCACAGGTCTATCATCACTGCGGCGGGTGTAAAGGCTATACATATCAAGTAAATAATGCTATATTTAAAAAGAAGCGTGTTGCCTACTAGATTACACAATTTAAATACTTAGATAAGACTTTATCTAGACAACTAATTTTATTTTGCATGAGTACTTACATTGACACATGCTCTGCAGCATTTGCTGCACAGGCAACACTGACTCGTTGTATGTGGTGTCATCACTGCATGATTCTGGAAGGCTACTTATACAGCCTTGGAAATCAGTGAAGGATCTATACAAGGAATGGTAAATATACAAATTCATAAAAAATGAACAATGAATAAGAGTAGTTAATATTGTTCCTAATGCTAAGACCGAATTATTTTTAATTAAATGTATTTCACTATGTACAATTATATAAATAGGATTATGATTTCTTTACTTGAATATGAGGTGCTAAAACTCCATACGTCAACTACAGTGGTACACAGATACATGATCAAGAGCCCATAACACTATGGATAATATACTTCTGGCTCATTAACTTTATTACTTTATCATTGTTATACCATTAACATTATCATTGTGATACCATTAACTTTATCATTGTTATACCATTAACTTTATTAACTTTATCATTGTTATACCATTAACTTTATCATTGTTATACCATTAACTTTATGAACTTTATCATTGTTATACCATTAACTTTATCATTGTTATACCATTAACTTCATCATTGTTATACCATTAACTTTATTAACTTTATCATTGTTATACCATTAACTGAATACAAAGCCATAGCAATTTAAATTGATTAAATTTGGTTATGTATTTGAAAACGAATACATATTTACTGAGAAAAACGGAAATATCAAAAAGATATAAAACATCAACGACAAAACAATCTCACCTGCATAATACCTCCGGATTCATGTCTTCTGACTGATTTTGCATAGCGATCTCAAGACATGGCATAAAGGTGCTGACAGAACAACCACCAGAGTTCCCCTCCACTGTGAATAGATAATGACATTTAGGGCTGCATCGACCACACAGTCAAGCTATAATGTAGGTTAAAGCTACGTTTAAGCACAAACACTGAAATGGAGCTGTTACGTTTCATTTTCAATGTAGCTCAACAACATTTGAGAAATATTTTTGATACGGATATTGATATCAGCAGCTTCCGGATTTTGTTGACGATACAGGTTTAGTCCAGAATCCTCACAAGTAGATTGTGTGATTTATATACATTGTATAACATATAATGGTAATGCTCTAAACGCTAATGAATTTCATTCTGATTCTTAAACAAACATTTAATACGGTTACCTGTAGCACATAAGGAATCTAGATTTTCTCGCTGTTCTGCCATTTGGAGCGCTTGTTCGTCGGTAATACATGAACTAGGCAGTGCATCTATACACTCAGTAAACTGTGGGTAATTCACACTGTGGATGTAATTGTAAGGAGAAGTGTCAGATTAGTAGATTCAAGAGTATATGTAACATGCATTGCTTCAATCCGTCATTTAATCTTTTTCTCTCTCATGTAAATGAAATCAACACAGGCTAAATTATGACGTGCACACAAACGTACAAAACATACTGATTTTGTAATTCAAAATGTATACGAATGTTAATAATTAAAACGTAATTGTTAACAATGACTTGTGTAATTATGCACTACACCACAGGCATGTTTAGGCAAAAGCATGTATAAAGTCGACCAAACAGGCACCTTCCAGAAATTGATACAATTGATACATATATGTTTTATCAGATGTTCTTCCGAAACGAAATCATCAAATCATCGCGGAGTCAACAATTCGAATTGATTTAATAATGAATAAGACAGTGTTACTTTATAATGAACAATACATCTAATCACATACCCCTTCCCCCTCCCAACCCGCAGCAATGAGACGTTATAAACTATATGTTGGTGGTAATTCTACTCATACAGCGTGAGAACTGATCTTTTGATATGTTCTTCAAATTCAATATTTGCAATTTTATTGACACTATGATTGTGATAATACAGTCATATTTGATATTGTGTTAGTTTCGGAGTCTACCTTTAACAGTATATATGAGTAAAAGATAATAATTGTAAATGGAGTGACCACATTAATAATATATGCAAAAAAAGTTTCAAAACAGGTAAGTGTACTGCGCAAACTAAAATATATATTAAATAGACCAACTCTAAATAAAGTATACAGATTATATGTTCTTCTATTACTAGAATACTGTTGCGAGGTATGGGATGGGTGTACTCTCGGTGATGCAGACAAACTAGAAAAACTTCAATTTGAGTCTGCACGGATAATCACGGGTTTACCCTCTTATTCTAGCAGAGACTCTTTATACTCTGAAAGTGGATTGGAACCCTTATCTCAAAGAGGATCTAGGAGAAAACTTCATCTATTCTACAAAATTCACAACAATTTCACGCCAACCTATCTTACTTCTCTACTGTCTCCTCTTGTCTCAGAAAATTCACAATACAACCCCCGTAATGCCGATTATTATTCTCTACCTAATTTCCGACTTCAACTTTCAAACTCATCCTTTTTCCTTTCTACAATTCGACTTTGGAACCAATTATACCTAGACATCAGACAAAAGGTTTCACACACAGCGTTTAGGAATTCTCTTCTAAGTTTTCAAAATGTACATGTTCCAAATAAATATCTGATTGACGATAATTGTTCCATGCACATTTAATAAATTTCCGACACTGTCAATGTGGTCATCCAGTTGAAGATACCTATCATTTTTATTTGCTTGTAACAATTATGTAGAACAAAGAATTAAATGTTAACGTGAACTAAACTATTTTATTCCTCTTGACCTGCAGCTGATACTTTTTGGTAGTTTGGAATTAAGCCAACAGGAAAATGAATTTTTATTTCATCACACTCGGCAATAGATTTTGATATATGTATCCCCCCGTTTAAACACGAAATCGTATATATTGTTAAGCTATTCCACAATTTACACCAACCACAATTGTTATCGCACAACGTTCGTCCATTGTGCGCAAAATTGTGTGCAAGCAATGATCGTTCATTTTTTTATCGTTCGCACATCGTGCACACATCGTGCGCACACTGCACAACGTGTAACGTTGTGCAATTCCACAACTATACCTGCACAGTTGACGTATTCCCTCCGGACTGCTCATGGTATCAAAGCTGATATCAGTTACATAGTTCGAGCAGTCCAGGACTGCCATTGCATTACATGATGTACCTGAAACAAAAAAAATCTCAAGAAATCATCTCAACTCTGATTAGATATATTTACATTATGCTTTTAGTAACAGCGTTTTCATTGACAATTTTTATTGTTTTTGTTTGTGCATGAAACAACAAAAACTACTTGTAAATACAACTGCACAGTCAACAATATGATACAATGTCAACTGCGCCAGAGCATGTTGCGATGCTATCATCCCGCAGGCGTCGCTTGTCAAATTTGATTTTTAAAATTTATTATTTTGTATTCGTTCAAAGTTGTAAAGCAAAAAATAACCAATCGAATTGGTGACCGTGAATAATACAACACCATGTTAAAGATGGCATGACAATTGAGCATGAATCACTGCGAAAAGTAAACACAGATATATATATAACTTTATCTACGGCCTGTACATTCAAAAGCAGTTACCTTCTTCCCCGCCAGGTGATGTGTTGGATCCAGAAGTTGGGGTCGTCATCGGCCCTTATGTCAACAGAAGTACATGGATTGCATTATAAATATATTATCATTTATCTAATAGGAAAGGAAGTGAATAAAAATGCTTTCGTTTAGTTACACCAGATACATAGTCAAATCTGAAGATGATATACAATTGCAACTTAGTGTTAGCTATTATATCATCAAATAAATGTAAAAAAAGCTTCATTTTGTAACAAATAGAACGTTGATGAACAGAACAAAACATGGACTGTATCATAAATATATCATAAACATGGACTGTATCATAAATATATCATTAAACATGGACTGTATCATAAATATATCATTAAACATGGACTGTATCATAGATATATCATAAACGTGGACTGTATCATAAATATATCATAAACATGGCCTGTATCATCAATATATCATTAAACATGGACTGTATCATAAATATATCATTAAACATGGACTGTATCATAGATATATCATAAACGTGGACTGTATCATAAATATATCATAAACATGGAAACATGGACTGTATCATAAATATATCATAAACATGGCCTGTATCATAAATATATCATAAACATGGACTATATCATAAATATATCATAAACATGGACTGTATCATTAATATATCATAAACATGGGCTGTATCATAAATATATCATAAACATGGACTATATCATAAATATATCATTAAACATGGACTGTATCATAGATATATCATAAACATGGACTGTATCATAAATGTATCATAAACATGGACTGTATCATAAATATATCATTAAACATGGACTGTATCATAGATATATCATAAACGTGGACTGTATCATAAATATATCATAAACATGGCCTGTATCATCAATATATCATTAAACATGGACTGTATCATAAATATATCATTAAACATGGACTGTATCATAGATATATCATAAACATGGGCTGTATCATAAATATATCATAAACATGGACTGTATCATAAATATATCACAAACATGGACTGTATCATAAATATATCATAAACATGGCCTGTATCATCAATATATCATTAAACATGGACTGTATCATAAATATATCATTAAACATGGACTGTATCATAGATATATCATAAACGTGGACTGTATCATAAATATATCATAAACATGGCCTGTATCATCAATATATCATTAAACATGGACTGTATCATAAATATATCATTAAACATGGACTGTATCATAGATATATCATAAACGTGGACTGTATCATAAATATATCATAAACATGGCCTGTATCATAAATATATCATACTTTATTTACTTTCTCCAGCGGTGGATTAAAATCATTATCAATAATAACTGCTTACCTCAAGTAACACCAAATGAACAATCAAATCGGAATACGTATGGTATACAAACGCAACTTACTGATAGTTATTGTCTCAGAAAATAAATGTAACAAATACTTTTTTCAAAGGCTTTATTGTGTTACAAATAGAACGTTGCTGTAACTGGTGTAAATTTTGGAATAATTGCTGATGGTTAAACCGTTAACTTATAACAGGATTATTAAAATGAAAATGTGATTGTAACTGTTAAAGTTAAGATGTATCTATGTACCTGGAGCACCACACATAGACCCGATCATTTCGCGTTGTTGATCCATCTGAACCCGAGCTGGCCCAGACATACAGGCTTGCGGAAGACTGTCTATACACGCCATAAACGGGGGGTACGTTATGCTGTTAAATCAAACAATGGTATGCACGACATGTTGTATTTTACATAAAATATCATCTAGTGTTTTGATTGAAAAATGGAATTTGCTTGTCAATTTAGGTTCTATGACTCTTTGTCAATAAACGATTGTATTGATGTTTTGATTTTATTTTCAAGCAATCCAAAAAATATAAATGTAGTGCAATATTTTTTGGCTATTATTGGAAAAGATATATGATATAAAACTACAGAATCGTGAAGTAAAATGAAATATAAACATATGTATATAATATACTGTACATGAATCTATCACATGAGATGCTGGAGGACAGTATAGGTTGCCCATTTGAAGAATATTCGATAAAATGGCAAACAAATATGAAAAGAATTCCATGACAAATAACAACATTCAAGTAGGACAGAATCCATAGTGAGTTTTAACGCTTGCATTGTAAACCAAGAGGTTGGTGCATGGCAAGTAAGTCTAAAACTTAAAAAACAAAAAGGTAAATGCGTTGTTGTTTGCTCTCTATTGAATTCCTTGCCATACTTTTTAATATATCAGGCACTTCCATGTCAAATATCAGTATCACAGTGCAAATATCGAAGCTTATAAACATAAAACATATTATGTTTGGTTCTTGTTTGATTGGATGATTGCATTCCATATATCCAAAACAAGTTCTCTTACTGAATACTGTAATACACAACAAGAGAGATTGAAAAGGTAAAACACTGAATGTTGTGCATGCAGGTTAGCAGCACTGGCATTGAAATATGGTATACCGTCTAGTAAATTAAAAATTAAAACAACACAGATACACGCAAATTGTACCATATTGGCGCGTAATGTTATCGGCACATTTGTACAGATATGATATTTTACCTATGACTGGCCTTACCTGCAGAGTTGATTTAAACCGTCAGGACTGCCAAGACTTGAGGAATCCATGTTTGTGATAAAGTCCAGGCAGGCTAAAGCTTCCATGATATCACAGGAACCTAAATAAAGGGATTGTACCAAACTATGTACGTCTTATACGACATTATTACATGCATTGCTCGTTTAATGGTGTTCATGATATAAAATGATGACGAAGTCATGGACGCTTCTTTTAATATTACAATTAGACACGTCTTCTATATTGTTGAAGGATTTCAACATGTGTGGTTTATTGTTGATTACTTTAGCAGGTAAATGTCTGTCCAAAATATAAAACAACAACACAATCTTTTCCCATTAATTTATCCCGTACTCCGGATTAGTAGACACAGATTAACCAAAACACCAATCGCTCTCCTCACCAGATGTTGTGGTGGTCACGACAGGCTGCGTAGCGGTGGGGACTGGTGTTGTTTCCGGAACAGGTGCTCCTCCGGGTGGTTCGCATGTTACACCGACATCCTCTCCATGACTACAATCCTCGTGGGGCGCCTCCCAGTGACTACATTCAAGAAGGGTGGCCTCATGTCCAAGACATTTTACATCGTCCAACTGAGTTGGTCCGGTGCCTTCACCAAAATATGCTTCAGTGTGGACCTCTCCCCCTCTGAGTATGCAAGAACAAATAACATTTAAACAAAACAATATGGCTGTGGAAGCAAATGTGTATACGCATATTATAAAAGATAGTAATATATAATTACGGAATGTTTACGTGGTGAAAATACCCGTGACATTGAATGATGAATAACACTGCATATTCACCAGATCCATGTTTATTTCATTACATGAACAATGAATTCAATGACTAATCAAATAAAGATGAATTTTATATTTAGGTTTTTAATAATCATTGAATGTCTTCAAAATCAATTGATTATAGTATATAATGCAGTTCTTTGATAAAAGTCCCACAACAAATTAAAAGCAGTTGAATAAACAAAACCAGAGATAACTTTTAAAACAGTACAACATGTATTCTGCCATATGTGTGTTTATTCTGACATGTCAGCATATTGCATTTTGAAAATACACTATTAGTTGTACAATGAATATAGACAAAACACATCATTTACATCAAGCCTAGTTGTCGACAGGCGACTCTGGCAGTAGTCGCAGTCCACCAATCATCGCACACAGTGCCCCACTCGCCGTTGAGGAAAAATTCGACCCGACCCTCGTACTGTGTTGTGCCTCCCACAAGTCGAATCTGATCTAGAGAATAAATACACTCTGTGTCATTATGTTAGTTAAAACAGTATACCTTTTACTAAGGCGGAAGCGGGTTGAAATTAGTTGACCAGCAAAATATTAGTTTCCTTTTATAATCCTTATCGTATACTAAATCATTATTAAACGCATGCAAATTAGTACTTGTTTTAGCGATTTATCAAGCTGTTCCAACAATTTTCTGCTCTCCTTAATGATGGCGAATTCATCATTACAGCGAACATTTGTAAACAACATATATAGATAAAAATAATATGTAAATGGATGTTCCTGCCGAAGGCCGCAATCTATTTGGGTGACAATTATCCGGTATACAGAATCATAAAGCTTAATTAAAGTATGTAACTGTATTCAGTTAACCAACTGAAATCCTTAGTACTTCCTAAATAAAAAGTTGCAGTCAAAAACAGTTGAATCTTCTTCTTATTGCAAACCATTTTAAACGTCCTCTTTCATCTTTATGTACTCGCTTTGTTGATGTACTCTAAAATGTTATTACTTTATCTGTACCTAATTTCAGCTGAAAACCGACATCGCCATCTTCGTGTAGAAAACGGCTAAGTGGAAAAATCTTTCCGGAAACAACTAGGTTACGTTTTTATTCATATTACAACAAAGTTAATTCGAGAAACCTCATGTAGAAATATGTCTAGGTAAAGAATAACTAATAACTGAAACGATGAACTGACAGAAAATATTGGTCGGAATGTAGAGAACAAGCAATATACAAAACAACAAGACAGACCACTCTATTCTAGTTATCGTCAGTTTTCTTGCTATATATGTAGCTAAATCAAAAAGGTCCACCTATTTAATGTTTGTATCAATATTAGTACGTGGTTACACTATACCTATTTAATGTTTGTATCAATATTAGTACGTGGTTACACTATACCTATTTAATGTTTGTATCAATATTAGTACGTGGTTACACTATACCTATTTAATGTTTGTATCAATATTAGTACGTGGTTACACTATACCTATTTAATGTTTGTATCAATATTAGTACGTGGTTACACTATACCTATTTAATGTTTGTATCAATATTAGTACGTGGTTACACTATACCTATTTAATGTTTGTATCAATATTAGTACGTGGTTACACTATACCTATTTAATGTTTGTATCAATATTAGTACGTGGTTACACTATACCTATTTAATGTTTGTATCAATATTAGTACGTGGTTACACTATACCTATTTAATGTTTGTATCAATATTAGTACGTGGTTACACTATACCTATTTAANGAGATGAAGGTATAATTGACACTGATATTGACTAATGGTCCTATAGAGATGAAGGTATAATTGACACTGATATTGACTAATGGTCCTAAAGAGAGGTAGGTATAATTGACACTGATATTGAATAATGGTCCTATAGAGAGGAAGGTATAATTGACACTGATATTGGNCTATTTAATGTTTGTATCAATATTAGTACGTGGTTACACTATACCTTAACAGTATACTCTTAGACGTTGTATACATTTTGAGTTAGGTCCAAGCAAGTGTAACCAACTCTTTGACCTGTATATGATATTTAATAGGAGTATCGTATCAGTTATTTAAACCTTCTGCAAATTTTTTCAATATATAGGCAGGGATATTAAATTTAATTAAATCGAATTCTTATAAATTGAGCACACAACTAAATATCTATTTATTTATTATTGATGTATTTTTTTATATATATAATAGTATTCATATATATCAAGCTTACATTGCGTCCGGTATGATCGGTTACAACTGATTGGAAATAGCCTTTTATTAAGGAAACATATCATAAGATATCAAGGTTTTTCAAACATGAACAAGTACAATATAGGCCATCACTTTTGACTAATGGTCCTATATAGATGAATGTATAATTAACACTGATATTGACTAATGGTCCTATAGAGATGAAGGTATAATTGACACTGATATTGAATAATGGTCCTATAGAGAGGAAGGTTTAATTGACACTGATATTGGCCAATGGTCCTATAGAGATGAAGGTATAATTGACACTGATAAGGTATACAATGTTTCCGTTATATCTACCTCTAGGATCTACTGCTGGGGCTTCGGTAGTGGTTGGTAAACTGGTACATACAACGCCTACGTCTTCATTGTGGCCACAGTTCTCTCTACCCCAGCCGTTAAATGTGCATTCCGAGAGAGCTGACTCCTCTCCAGTACATTCTAAATTGTCCATCCATATGCGTCCATATCCTTCACCAAATTTCTCAATTCTTTGACCTTCAACTTCACTGTTATATAAAAAGAGTATACCTGATTAAAAAATGTTAAAGCTCATATCAACCTTACATATTGCATCAAGAACTTCGAAACAAATAATACATGTTCTAATTTAAGTTTTCTACTCAGTTTCTATATTGAAAATATAAGAAAAAGTATATGCACAGCGCAAATCACAATATGACAACTGTGCTAACGCCATGTAGATAGCCCGTTCAAAATGAAAATTTGAAAATGGTAATACAAGGAATGAAATATATGTTTTTGTAACTTTGATAAGGTCATAACAACAATGGGGTACTGTCCAGGAGCCCGATTTTGTTACAATCTCATAAATGCTAAACAGACCAATTCCAATCCTTGTTTTTAACCTTCAAATTAGTAAACTTGCTGAAATTATTAATAAGGTTAAATTACTTACGTATCTGACAAATTTGTATGAATAACAAACGCATATTTCAAGGAAATTGGATTATGAAAAAGACCACCTGAAACCTAATTGTCGACAAGCAACACGTAGATCTTGGATGCCAAAGGCATCATCACACACAGTGCCCCATTCACCGTCGTGGAATACCTCCAGCCGTCCAGCAGAATCGGTGGGACCGTCTGCGAGACGAAGAATGGCTGAAAATAGAAATCGTACAGATCATAGGGTGTAATGTTCTTCATATAATCAGGTTACACATAGGCGAACGAGACAACTCAATGACTGACTTATTAACATAATACTTTATTGTTAAAGTATGTCGCTGAAATGTTACACAAGCCCATCTGGTTATCTTTCACATGTCTATTTGAGCATATAACATTTAATAATAAATAAACATGTGTTTCTATAATAATATGAAAAATCAAGATCGTTAACATATTACATGTCGATCATGTCCAGTCTTATTTGTTAGTTTTGGGCTTGTCCTCCTAACGGCTCCGATTAATTAGCGTTTACACCCCAAATGTAGCCTTGTTTCAGTATACACAGACTACAAAGCTCATACTGACATACCCTCAGTCTCGAAAACTGCATTAAAGTGATGATCATTTTAAACGACTATTTCAAAGATAGGGGGCCACTAATCAAATTCAGAAAACTTTCCCTATGCGGACTTTTATCAGATATCAACATATCAATTTAATAAACATATTCATTATCTGATCTAATGTAACAGACACGCACGTTTTGTATCCAATAATCATCAACTGGTTAAACTTATTTTCATTTAAAATTGGCAATGTAGTGATGGTATACCATGTAATATAATTAAATCACATGGATGAAAAGGAAAATGTAACGAAATGTAGCAAACGTCCATGATTATAGAAGTAAGAACCTGGTTGCGGTGTAGTACTTAATGATTCCGGTGTAGTACTTAATGGATTATAACATTCCACTCCAGCATCTTCTCCATGGTTACAATTCTCTTGTTCCCAACCGTTGAACGGGCAGTCCTGTAGGCGGACTTCAAACCCTGTACAAACGACGTCGTCCATCCAGGTAGGCTGACTTCCACGTCCAAAATATGCATTGGATCTTGCAGTTCCACCACTGTAAACACCAAATATATTATAAAATGAATGCATTTATGTGGATTTGGCAGTGTTTTAACATTTGTTTTTGTTAAGTGCGTGTTATCGATAGGAAGATAAGGCCGAAGTGTAGGAGAAATAATAGGTAGAGTTAGAGGTAATTCCAGCTGTTTATCGCACTGCTTTATGCATATTGAAATAAATTGTTCTATTTCATTGTCGTTTTGATTGTGATTTGCATTCTTTTCTTGTCGAACAAACCTATCATTAAGACATTTTGCCTAAATAACGGACACGCTTATAAATTGCGTCAGTAATCTTACAGTATATGTAAACAGTAACAGAAATATAAATAAATCAACGTAATATGGTGACTTATTGTGCATAATATGCTTTTATGAAAGGTCATACTTCCGTTGAAGTTAATTATTTTGTCACATGGATGTGCCCGATGAAATTCCAAACGATTACCTTGATAACTGTATAATCACCAGTGATATATCGACGAAATAAATTAAATATCAGCGATTTCTCGTTTTACCGAAAAAGAACCAAACCAGGTTCAAATTGTTCGTAATTGTCATTTTAGCTGAGATTATTTATTATCATTCGTAAGGAAGCATACGTTCACTAGTTTAACACATAACTAACACTCTGTTTCAAAAAAGATAATTGTTTTTGTGTATTTTTAATTAAGTTAATGTGCCCTAAATTTCCCAACAAAACAATGCGCTATTACTTCTAATCAGAATTGTAAACATACATGTCAGATACATGTAACCAGAGGCTACCGCATGGTTTGCCGTTTTCACTTCGACCCACACATTTATTTTCATATTGATATTTTTACAAAATATTACATTTTCACAGAGCTAGTGCATTTCAAAAGTAAGAATGATTTATTCGATAATATGCTCGACAGCAAACATAGTAAACATTGTTTAACTGGTGAGACTATGATTTACAGTACGGCATTAAACATGCCCGAAACGAAATATGGAAATGACAACACGAAAAATACAATAAGAAACAAGTGTATTACGAAGTACGGAAAGTCCTGAAAACCAACTATTGGTTCAACCATTACCCGAGTGGCACGCATCAGCGATATCTGTCTTGGTCCTATGCTTGTACTCTAGCTGACTACAGAGTGACGATGTTAGTCTTACCTGAACCCTAGCTGACTACGGAGTGACGCTGTTAGTCTTACCTGAACCCTAGTTGACGACATACCACTGCCGCGTCACTATTGTCCCAAACATCGTCACACACAGTACCCCAGCGTCCGTCATGGAACACCTCCACGCGTCCCTCATACACAGAGTCACCGTTCACTAATCGTATATCTTAAATATGAAATACAAATGTGTGTGCATATTTATATGTAAGCGTGATTTAGAAATCAATGTTTTTGTAAATAACACCGATTTCATTGTAAACTATTATCTCGACGTCGCCAGTTGTAATATGCCTGAAGAACTAAAACAAAATACGAGAATATTGAAATATTTCATTGGCATGGCATTTTCACTAGATAATTTACAGAAAGCTGTGTCGGTGATAGGACTTTAAATGATATAAACGCCGAGACACAATTCTTAGCTAATCAGCGCGCGACACTACGCTGTTCCAGTTACTGAATAAATTTGTTAAGACTGTCGATAGGGCGGACATTTTGTATTATGAATATAAGTTGTAAGTTTATAAAAAAAGTGAAGGCAGAGAAAACGTAAATATAGGCATTGTTTGTGTGTGACATGTATGATATAATTGAATGACACACCTTTACAAGCAAGCAAATCATAATAAGCTAGCGCGCATTATGTTGTTTGCTAGCAAAAGCTGTGTCGTTCAAATATATCATAATGTCATACAGTTCAATGCTTAACTAATCGCTAGCACTCTTTGTCTTTTTCAGGTTTTTCAGCTAAAATGGAGCATAGTAAATAATTTCTTAACATTTTGTCTTAATCTCCAAGTAATTGTGTTTTTTAATTGTTTTGCACTCTGTTTCCCCTAACGGTTTCCTGCCCCTGAGCCTCATTGGCAGGTACCCCCTCATTGATTGTAGATTCTGATCCGTATCATCTGACCGTCATGTTATTGAATGCTGAAGAAATTCAAACTGTTAATTGCAAAGCAGATGTCGTTTAAAGGTTCTGCACCCCTCACAGCCCACTGGGTTAAGCTCCTTGATGAGTTTATATTGTGATTCTCATCACAAGCTGGTGATTACCACCACGTTTCATTGAAGTCCTAACTAAGGATTAATTATTTTTATCCTTATTAAAACACACTTGTCTTTAACTTCTGCAAACTAAGTATCATACTAACACAGAGCAGTTTTATATTGATATTGCTTTAACTGATTAAAAATATACAAACCTGAGGTCTGTGGCGGAGCCGTGTTTTCATGGAGGCCAAGAACAGTCTCATTTATGCTGTTCAAAGCATTTTCGAATTCCTGCTGCTGCGTCCTCAATTCCTCAATATCAGTTTGCAGCTCAGATATTTCGGAACTAAGTTGTTGTACATCTTGCCTTTTTGCGATATTCGACTCCCGGTAAGAGTGGATATTTTGGCCACGCTGGGGTTTAGCGAAGGTATTCCCAACAAAGGAGGATACACTTAACAGGACGCATACCAATGCACGCGTTACAGACTCCATGGCTTCACTGTACAATGTATCTACACACGTATGTAAGTCCGGTTTATATCTCCGTCTCTTTAGACAAGCTACATCCCATCTGTATATTTATTTTTGCAACGTGACAATTTTAAAGGTTAATGTAATTTATGGACATTAAAATGAACACGTGACATCCTGTAGTAGGAGTTCAGCTGGTAATTGTAGCAATCATTGGGAATAATTTAGTAAATTGTCTTTTACTTAAATTAATAGCTATACACTTTGTATGATAAAGCGAGCCGGTACATCGAACTTGAATGCAATAAAACGTTGTATATCATTGGCGCGGTAGCATGTCTGTTTAGAAAGGATAACCCACATAATAACAATAATCTTTACTTAGTAATTAGGTTTGAATTACAGACATCATTATATTCAGAATAATACAGTAACGGTTGAGGTTCAAAGTTTTGACATTTTTGCAACATTCATCTTTGCTATTAGTGCTTGCAATGGAATGTTTTCGTTAAGGTTATTCCGTTTGGCGTTGTATTGAAGTTTCTCGACAGGTTTTTTTCATGCATTTTGCTATGCTTAAACTTCAAGTTACGTTTTACTTGCCAAACGGGATATTAAAGGAAAGCTTTTATCTAAATTAATCCGGCAACAATAAAGCATGCTTTCATAACCTGACGACGAAATCGTGAGCCTCACGCCAAGTTTTCTCAAACTGCTTTGCAGTTCACTTCGTACGATGTTTCACCGTCAATTTCATAGAGTCATGCATGCATAACAATCAAATACGAATTCAATCCTTTAACCAAATACAAACTGTACACCTAATGATAATTTATGTTCAGCTTTAAAATACATAGTTTGTAAAATCATTTTTGAATCCGATAAACAACACCTATCATGGTAAAATCAAACCTGTATCGCAAATTTCAACAGTCACGGATACCAGCATCGAAAAGTCCCTCCTAATCCCCACCGATCACAGAAGGAAACGTCTAGCATACCATCTGAAACGAGGCGTATTCCTAAAGGTCTAATGAGACATTTACTTAATCATGTATTGCATGCTGTATGAACTTTAAATATTGTAAATATATCAAGTATTCTGAAATTTGAGATAAGCCACTGTCTTTAATTTCCCCGACTTTCGAAATGACACTCCATCATGGAGTATTTCTGTTACAATGTATGTCATCTAGCCACAAGGGATCCCACTGTCGTCAGAAGTAAGCGTTCTGTTTTGATATAATTTTATGTCTACATAGGTATACATAAATATTATGTTTGTAAGTGTTATATTAATAACAAAAATTACATCATGAGTACAAAATTAAGGACTGGCTGTTAATTTGTTGCATGCAAGGAATGAAGAAGATGGTCGAACCTTTCTAATAGTAAACGGTTAAGTTAACTTATTAAGTTTGCTCCAGGCTTATTTGGATCTATCAGCCATGAAAGCAATCAAGTCAACCCTAACATTTTCTTGCTCGTGTGTGTTTTGAATCACCAAAATCAGTCACATTTATATAGGACTACTGTAGTATCATGAAGCTGAGGGGCCAAAGACATTCTATCGGATGATGTTGCATTTCCATACCCCTCTCTCTTACCATATCTACATCCCTCTAACGAATCACTCTTATTCTCCTCTTCTTATCCAGGAATGTGGCTAAATTCGAAAATAGCATGACGAAAACAGTGGTAGAGTTTATTTCTGGATAACGTATTTTAAATAGACCAGAAAAAAATGAAAAAGTATTGGAAACTTCATAGCAAGACCATAAATATGCATTGGAAAACATTTCTGAAATATATTGAGAAACTTCATATGGACATTAACAGAGTTCATGCAGTTTTTATTTATATATATTAGATCTTTCATAAGTTTCCATTTCATATGGGATTTATGAAATTCGTGACGAGTTTCATAAATTTCATATGAAATGAAAACGAGTGTAAGATCCTTTTTATCTCATAATCAAGTTTTGTGGCATGTATTCGTGTAAAACAACATTTTCCATGCAACCTTAAAATGTGAAAAGCCGCCAGTTGATTTCAGTGCGTATATTGTAAGTCTGTGACGTCATGTACTTGTCCTAGGCGTGACGTCACAATTGAGAACAATTGAACTCAAATCCAACCACATGCTGATAGGTCATATTACATGGGTAATTACGCCAAAAATTTAACATGGGTATATTCACTGGATAAAGCAATACATCATGTTATAAATATATATATATATATATATAAATATATGTGTGTGTGTTTCTTTATTATTATTAGAAATATGTTTTTTTTATCATTGGACGGAAAGACGTTTTATCTAAATTATAACGCATAAAATGAACATCTGTCATCATAATTGCATTAAGGAGAAACATAAAATGTTCATAATAATAATAATAATAATAAAAACTGCATGATATGAATATTTTATGGATAGTCAAAATAGCACCAAGGTAACATCAGAGCGGAGGAACACGTGCATACTTATGTGAATTATGTAAATGCTGTTGACTCCGTTTTGCATACGAGGCCCTTCTAAGTTAGTGTATTTAACGACTGAAAACAAACTTTTACACTGTCACACTGTTTGACGTTACAGACACAAAGGTGGCCTAATAATTATAACTATTGTTTAACATTTCCTACATTTCTGTTCCCATTAAGTTTGATATTTCTATCTGAATATTTTCACATGTTTAATAATAACAGTAGTTTGTACACAAGATAAATCTTTGCAACCGGATGTGAAATAGTTGTGCTTGTATTTCAGTATGAAATGCTGTATAGAATATTAAAAGAACTGATCATTTAAGAAACACCTTGCACTAATTGACACCAATTGGATTACTATGAAAAACGTGACATTCTGTTAATGGGTGATTTTTATTCAGGAGAAAAACACGTATTGACCGACAATTTCGTGGTATTTTTAACAGAATAATGAAATCATGCATTGACATAAAACAGGCCATAACTTAGGTAGCCGAGATAATGACTGTTATCAACAATATTGCCTCTGTTTTAAACCATAGTGTTGGGCTCAGTACTGCCCTTCTCTGATTATAGACGTAATGTAACATTGTATTACTATTCATTCATGATAGGTCTGTATTTACAGTTTCATTTTAGAAATTTCACCAAATTTGTCATTTTTCATTTTTGACATAAAAGAGTGCAAACGCATCATAATGTGAAATTTTGCATTTCGACATTTTCTGAAAATTATTTGCATAATAGATTTTCTTTTATCCTGACAAATAAGGACAACAACATCCGTATCACAATACTGGATTTATGCCACGCCAAAAATGAGCTCTATTTATATCCTTGTAGCTCGTATTTATCCTGTCGCAGTTTACATGAATACTAATGAATATTGAATTATCTGTTGTAGTCATAAATTGTCAATGTGGTACGTTATAAAGAATATAACAGACATTTTCCCCATTTCGTTGTATTTCTACATAGATATGTTAGACTCGATCTCCCCCTATCTTTAGTGTCACCGATGATTACAAAATGGACGAAATGGTCATATGGTGACATCGAAAACGACATCATTAATATATGCTGTCTTACTTTGTATTGCTTGTGGTAAGTATTATTAGAGTGTTTGTTCATATACTTGTATTAATCATTAAACAACAGAACATTGTTAAACTTGCAATCTAGAAATAGAAAATAGAAGGGGAGATTTATATGGCAAAAAACTTTCGTGCATTTTTAAAGCCAATATATGCCACATAATGGGAACGACCTATGCACTATACTGTATATGGCTGTATGAACTGTATGGCTGTATGAACTGTATGAAGGCTCCCTTGGCGTATTTGATAATTCCGCTGGAAGAACACTGTACGTGCCGTATATCTAGCTAATGTTGCGTTAAGTTTTTGGGTACTGGAAGATAGCTGGGTAGCGGAACAACCCATGTGTTTGTATACGTTCTACAGCTACTACTGTGAATTTGGGCAGAAACTGAGTGACACCGAACTAATAAGCCCTTCCTTTAGGTTTGAAGGTAGCTTGATACATGTGGTACTTAAGCTTACATACATAATACAAATCAAACATTTATGAAAGAAGTTGTTTACTGGTGTGACATCATAATGCTGGCTTCCGGTGGATGAAATGTAAACACGCAAACTGACCGGCGGTCAACTTTTTAGAGATAGCATGGTTTTGACGACACTTGAAGTTTAAAAAGACTTTTGTGAACAAGATAAGTAGTATGTGAAAGGCCACCTCGATTGATAATGCCTAATATTATGCATTTGTGAGAATTTAGACATTTTGCTTGCTCGCCAGCTGACCGTCGTGATTCCCGCCATTTTTTCCTTTGTTGGTCGGAAAATTATTTTTGTGCATATAACATTCACAGCCTTTAACCATGTCCACAGAACTATCAGATAAGGTTAAAAAGGGTGTCCAGGCTATAGGTGAACTAAGGGATCCAGAAGTATTGCGTGAAGTGGTATCTCAGCTGATGAACAATACGTTGTTCAAAGATACATTACTCTCAAGTCTAGGTATCACTGCCCTACACCAACAGGTCAAGTCACTAGAAAACAGATTAGATGACATGGAACAGTATTTACGTCGCAACTGTCTGAAATTCAGGGGGATCCCAGAATCTGAACACGAGAACACTGACCAGTTAATTATTGACTCGTGCAATAACACACTGGGTGTTATGGTTACTGATGCTGACATCAGTCGCTCACATCGTGTAGGTCCCATCAACAAGGCATATCCAAGAACCATAATTGTACGTTTCATCTCGTATAAGACCAGAGCCAACGTTTATGATGCCAGATTTTCCTTATTCAGTAAGAAAGACCAGGAATCATCACCCACATCTCCCACCCCATCCAATAAGCTCTTCATCAATGAGGCACTAACAAGAGCTAGGGCATCTGTTTTCTTCAAGGCTCACCTTCTCAAGAGAAAGGGTCTCATATCTGGCACTTGGACCAAAGACGGTAGGATTGTTATCAGGAACAATAGTGGAGAGAAACACCAAGTCACCAAGCTTGAAGAGTTAGGATCCTACCCTGACCCCTCTCCTAAGAAACAACCAGGCCCTACGACGTT